TATTTGTATGCTTTTTGCACAGCACTTTTATTTATTTATATTTTTTTTCAGCAGCGGAGGATTCCTTATTTCTGTCGTTAGGGGGCGTTCTCAGAATTTTATAATCTCTAAGAAAAGGATTCTCTGGTGTTCGCCCCATACTATTCTCAGAGGTCATACCTCAGTGTGAAAATAGTTGGGTACACCTGTCATAAAGTACGTTCTTGTTGCTAAGACCTAATTTATATTATAAATGGTTGGCAATGCCTAAACCAAGAGCAAAACGAAAAGGAGAAAAAAGCGAGAACGGAGAACAGCTGATTGATCAATACAAAGCGGCAAATAAAAAAAAAAATAAGCGCACGTTTGATTCGCTGTTTGTAGGGGAAATAATAAAAATATAACTAAAAAAGTTGGAAATTTACAATGAAGGAGCAGGTATTTGTAAATAAATTTTTGTTTAAATTAGGTTGTACTTATATATTTATCTAGGGTTTGTATTCACTTGGATCGTCCGGAATTCCTGTAAGGTTAAGCCAAACAACGAATAATCCAAGAGCTCAAAAAACACATCCACTTCACTCAACACTAACAATCGCTATACCTTCGTTGATTTGTTGTTTTAGTCCAATAACAGTTGGGACATTCTATGCGTCGTTTCTACGAATTTTAGTCAGAAGTGCGTTCTTGCATACTGCCCTGCCGTGAAATCCATATTCAACATTGTATTTGCCCTGAATTTCATGTGCAATGTCGGTAATAAAAGCGTGATAAAACAATAAATTTAACATTAAATTTTATCTCTGAGATGATATGAGAAAGCTCATGGGAACCGGTTGGAAAATTAGACGTGGCACCGCCAACTTTTTGGTGAAATCTCATAACTCGGGTCCCGACCAATCGATTTCAACAAAATTTAGAAAATGGTATTCTTCTTAAATTCTTATATCACAGCATGAAAATAAACGAAAGCGGACAACAACCACACCTACTTCACGTATTGTACATTTTTAAATTCCACTTGATTCCGAATATAAAGATTTTCGAACTTCTTGAATTTATACCGCATATACCGATCAATACGGGAGTTATCTCAATTAAAATGAAAGAGCATGAATTACTCATAACTAACATCAGAATTTTCGAACATCCGATTGACTTTACTACATATGTATATGTATATTGGTATGTGTAGGTGAGATATCTCAATGAAACCCAGGGGAAAAATTTTGTATATATGGCATGATATTAGACGGATACAATCGGGTCGATATTTCTCCCACATATAGTATAGTGAATTTCGTTTTTGAAAGAAGAGTAATGTGTTTGTCAGTGTATGAGTTATATATATGTATATAGCATATGTATTTATAAAATTGCTTGTATTTCGATTCTCCGGTTAATTTTCAAAGAAACGTGTTTGTCAGTGTATGAGCTATATATATGTATATAGCATATGCATTTATAAAATTGCTTGTATTTCGATCCTCTGGTTGACGTTTTACACCTAAAGATATTTCCCTAGATTTGATTCTTGCAAAGAGCAAGAGTAGAAAATTTTCGATAGCACCCGAACTAGCCCATCCTTACTTCCTTTCCCAACATATCTTCTCAATATTTAATTGATTTTCTCGCTTACATGAATCACTTAATGGGTTCAAATATATTGCATACGAGGCACTCCCTCTTAATTAGCCCCGCTTAATAGGCTTTACAGTATAATGGTTTAAAAATGTGTGCTACTGGAAAATATATACATTTAACTCTAGTTAAAAGATGGCATCAAGTGCGCAAAATTTGCATATAAAATTATGGTATCTGGGTAATAGTAGGATCACATACCGTGAACTTTCGGTCAGTTCTTGGCCTTCTKTTTATCAATAAATTAAGATTATCGAAGGTTTTCTAGTATGTCGAGTCAACTCCTTATCATTTGAAGAACAGCATTTTCACAAAAACACCCCGAGAATAAATCACACAAGCTGCTATGGCCCCAAATGGACATATTCAATTATTACGCAGCAATGCGTTTCTAACATTGGTTCCAAAAATTTTAAATAAATATTTACAATATATTTCTAGTTCACTTTCGTTTCTTTGATTTTTACATCGGCTTTCCTTTAGCTTCCTGATGCTAAGTATGGAAAAACAAGCCTACTTACAGAAGAAATGCTATAACTTTAGAAATTTAAAATTTTAAACTACATAAATGTTAGATATCAAAAAGATGTTTCAAAAGTCGTGCTAGTTTATACAATTTTATAAAATTTTACAATACTATATAATATAGCAATTATTAGAGCATGCAATTAGCCAAGAAATCGACCTACAAGTTCAGTCAGCAAGTTTAACTAGTAAGGAAGGGGTAAGTTCGGGTGCAACCGAACATTTTATACTCTTACAACCTGCAATAATCAAAACCAGGGAAATACTTTAAGGTGTAGAACAATTATATAGAGTAAAGTCACCCGGATGATTCTTTAACTTCAGTTATGTATCTCACATACTGACCGACATTTTCGACCAAAACTCAACTATAGTACCGGGGTCTAAATATTCGTTACCTAGGGCCTTGGTCAGTTTTTATAGCTCGTATGGAGGCACACACTAACGACATTTWTCGTGAACAGTTTTMTCTCGTTATATTATATTAATTGCTTCTTGATTTGTGTATTGAAATCTGAACGAATCAAGTGGAATTTAAAATTGTGCAATATGGGAAGTAGGCGTGGTTATTGTCCGATTGCTTTCATTTTCACAACGTTGCATAAGAATGTAAGAAGAATGCTTTCAGTAGTTTTTAACAGTACCGTTTTATGGACAGTGAGCGGTTCACACTGGCGGTGGGAATTCTTCTCAGATTTGTATCCAGTAAATTTGGTTGTTGTAGCTTTAGTGGTTTAGGAGATATCTACATTAAACTTGTTAGAGGCAACTCCGTCTTTTTCAAGAAGTTTGTCCAAAGGCGCCTTTTTCTGCTGCGATCTTAATTTAGTGTTTAGTTATGGCACTTTACATGTTTTCGGCTAATGGTTATTTGTGGGCGTGGCAGTGACCCGATTACGCCCGTTTACGAACTCGATTTTTTTGTTCTAAGGAACCCACATACCTAGTTTCATCGAGCTACCTCAATTTTTACTCAAGTTGCAGCTTGCATATAAGTATGTATATACAACCCTATATCTATCTCCTTTAGTTTTAGGTGATACGTACAACCGTTAGGTGAATAAAACTATAATACTCTGTAGCAACTGGTTGAAAGAGTATACAAATTTCCGTTGGTGAATTTCTTTCGACTGAGTGATTTCGGGTTCCATACCTTTCATTTTTTGAGAACTTTACCCCAGAGGACCGAGTTTTTTTTTTTCTCCACAACGAATTCCGCCTCCATATCTAGCTGATAGTAAAACATCTTTTTTGTTGCATTATCGGATAATATACACATTAAGAAACATTCACTTCAATTTGGAAATCGACATTCAAATTATTCCGGTCGGTACAGCGTTTCTTGTAAAAAGGCAACAGAGTGGAGAGAACATTTTTGAAAGCTTTTTGTTTTTTGAAATCTTCCCATTCTTTTCTACGAAAAACTTTCGAAAAAAGGACAAATTCGATATGCTCGCCGCCATTTTGTCAAGTTTCCAATCCATCTAACGCGGATTTCCTACAGATTACTAATCTTTTTGAAATGTTTGTTATACCATATACATAAACATCGTTCAGTACCTTTTTTTACGTGTAATTTCAACAAGTTATTTAACTATTATACACCCAATAATAAACATAATGAATGAAAAATGGAGTTGGCAGGATTCCTATAGGATTTATTTTCAGCGAATTTGGTTATTTAAGAGGCGGGGCCACTCCCATTTTTTCAAACATTTTAGACCAAATGTATCCCTTGCTACTGCGATAAAAAGTGTCAAATTACAGTAATATATATTTGTTTAGTGCTTAGTTATGTCATTTCATAGACTTTCTTTTAAAGGCGTTTTGTGTGCAGGGCTGTGTTCCGATTACGTTCATCTCCGAACTCCTCTAAATTTTTTTGGAACGAGCTTTCAATCTAAACGGACATGTCTCTTGATGCGATCCGTAAAAATTTTTTAAAAACAAAAACAAAATAAAAATAAAACAAAGCAAACAAAGATTGAAAAAGTGCATTAAGTGCAAGCGTTATGCAATAACGCCTTAAGTGTTAATCAAAAAATAAAAAAAACCCAAAAAAWCTAGACTTTTTGCAAACAATAAACATAATAAAAAAACAAAAAAGTGCGAAATAAACAATAAAAGAAAAAAACATGAGGTCAGCGCAGCCCCACCAACAAGGCCGTGGGCATTCTCGGAATGCCTACTTAAGATTTGCCGAATCTGCGAATTCAGCTCCCACCAACAAACAAGGCAACGGTGAGAAGGATGAGTCATTCCAGCGACCAACTGAGCAACTCCATAAGCAGAGCTTACATAAAATAAAAGCGGCAGAGAACTGCAGTCATCACAGTCAGCCAATAACTAACCAGGTACCAGCAAGCAAGCAGGCAACGAAGAATAACATAACGCAAGGTCAGAAAGTACCATTAAAAATTGGCATTGACCGCTACGTTAATATAAAAAAAAATTAGGTCCATCAAAGTCAGCGGTCAATCCTAAAAAATTTCAACTCGATTCCCCAAATAAGAATAAAATCGAAATTTTAAATGGCAACATATATGCCTTACTAAGCTATGGCTCAGGCTCGATGCGAAGGGTGCCACCATACTCGTTAATGCCAAACCAGTTCCAATGCAAGTATATTTGCGCGAACGAGCAGTAATACTCTTATTGCCAAATTAAGTGAACTTCTGACAGAGAACGTTTAATATAGAGAAGGTTCACCGCGTTGCCAAATTTACGATATTTMATTTTTTGGAGGGGTACTCTTTTCTATTAGTGGATTTCACCACAAAAGCAGGGGTACTCTTTCTATAAGCGGATTTCAACAATATTTAACAGGAGCGTCGAA